TAATTTTAAAATATTGCCTAAAGTGCATTCAATAAAGACATAAAGAGTGCGATGCTTATTCTATCAGCGGCTGCAATGGGAACAGAACCCAAGTGTCGTCCTATAACTAGATTACTGGTGCTTCTCTGACGTGAATCATGGTAATAACTAAGCTAATATGATGGGAGTTTGTTTTCATAGAGCTCTATTACGTTCGGCTGGGGACGGTACTGTGTGAAGGGGAGCCGCAAAGCGTGACATTTATAGCAAAGCGGTAGTGAAAAAAGAGGAAACGCATTATAGTCTCCTATCCATCAGCTGTCCAGTGATGAATTGATTCAGCACTGAGTATAAGAGCATGTCAGCAGCATACTGCTAAACCAATTTTACTTGATATTGAAGCATTGAAATATTTTTATATCCTATTTGTGTTATATAGGGCCTACTGTATATTTGTAATTGTTCTAATTTTCGGTTTTATTTTTGTCAAAATAAATACACATTGCGAGGTCATTTTTCTTCCTGTGAAATAAGTGTTGTAATTGTAAGTGTCAGTCCATCAGACAGTATGATCTAATTAGAGAGAGGAAGATGATCGTGACCAAGAGCCCTTGAAGACAATAGTCTGCATCATCTGACCACAGTGACTCTTTATATCAAATGACGTGCTAAGGGTTCACCACAGAACACTTATTGTGAGGGGTGCCATCCCAGCTGCAAGTGCGCTTGCTATACAATAGTGCACCAAGTCTGACTTTGCCCTTGGTTTTATTTGAGCGGATATTTCACATACTTTTGCTGCATATTAGATGTGGGTTAAAATTCACAACAAGAAATTTTCTGTGCGGAAAATTAATAAATAAATGTTAAATTTGTACATTTCATTTGAACATTAACATTAAATGAACAAGTGTAACGGAAGCCAGCTAGCACAGTAAGAGCTGTGCAGGCAAAACCTCACTCCCTTGATCTCAAGAGGCACTCTAGAGACTGATGCTAGAGACTGCGGTCTTTAGAGCACAGAGGGTAGAGCCTCTAGATTAAAAAAAAAAAAAAAACTGTAATGCTACACGTTTTTGTTTTTCCCCAGGAAGAAAATGAGATGTAAAGGGGTTACAACTGTAAGATTAAGCTGAACCCTCCCTAAACGTCCACACTATCTCGCTGCACCGTCCGGAGCTTTGAGTGGCGTTATAATGGAAGCGTGAGGTGAGCTGGCAGACCACACTGCAGGTCAGTGTGAGGTCAGAGAGGAAGAAGTGAAACCAGAGCCTGATCCTAAGATGTGCTAGTGTAGCGTGGCACAAGCTAGCAGCTCAAAGATAAACAACAGTAAACTAGCCCTCTGTGGGGGAGCTGTGTGTGGACTTGGGAGGCCAGGACCTCCTGGCAGTCACGATGGCAGCTCTCTACGCTCTTATTGATAACCTTCTTTTCTCATGAGGCAGGGGAGATAATACACTCCTGGAACAAGGGTAAAGGGAGATGAATGTTAGACAATAGACGGTCGCAGTAAAGGGACCATCCGCACAGTCTTTGAACTTTTCCCTGTCTCCAAAGGACAATTAATAATGAAGGCCTTTGGGGTAGGTCACACCAGACATGGACAAGAGGAGACGAGAGAAGAAACAAAAGAGAAGAGAAACCTGGAGAAGAGGGGGACGTGTTGGATGTTGGATAATTGATCTTTTTCAAGGGGGAGTGTTGCTGGTCAGAGCATCTTAAATTGCATCATTTACATTATGTGCTCGTCTTATAGACATTTTAATTTGTATTTAAGTATGTTTCACCTTAATAAGTAAGCCTTATAATTATGTTGATTTCCCTTAAAAGTATAAACATTTTGGCTCTGTTTATTTGCACAGCCCCACAACAGCAACACTGGCTCAACCAATGGTGTGCATTTTGGGCGGGGCTATCTGTTTGATCGACCAATGACAGACGAGGGGAGAGTTCGTTAATTAAAGTCATTAATTTTGCAGTTCCGTTTGTTGACGCTAGCGGCGCATAAATTACACACTTCACCTTTTAAGTATTCCCTCAACTATAAAGGTATCTTTTTAACCTTGGGATTTCGCCACACAAACAAAACTAAAATGTAAATGGGAAACAAATAAAAGTCTCTAAGATTCATTCACTCAGAATGATAATAGCCACGGACACCTGATAGCCCAAAGATACCAAGACGAGAACTCTTGAAGTCAAAGGAGGTCTGTGTGAGTGTGCTGTGGGTATATGGCCACCAACAATTTAAAAAAAAAAAAAAGGTTCAGAGATCACAGGGACCGAAGAAAGAGAGCAAGAGACTAAGCCTTCTCTATGCTCTCCTCAGCCGGTTCATGGGAGGAGTGTTCAAGGACTGAAGACAAGGCGGGTCTGGGGTAAGTTGGGAGGGGGGTATGGGACGGACACTCAGGGGGGTTTGACAGAAGAGCCTTGAACTATTTTGTGGCCGAAAGATGAGACCTTCCCAGAGCTGTCATAAAAATGTCTCCTTATCCCAGTGGAGCCCGTGGACCCCACCCCTCTTAGAACTCATCAATGGTGCCTGTGATGTGATACAGTAAGTGTGAAGACGGCTCCTGAGAACCAGATGCCACAATTACAGGGCCTGGAAACGCCACTTTGGCTAACAATGCGTAACTGTGCTGCGAGATTTAACAGGTGTTCACTTTCTTTGAACGATTAAATGCTCTGACTTTTTTTTTTTAGACTTTAAAGGATTTGTTCAAAAAATACTTTTCACACTCACTGAAAGAAATTTAGAAAAATGTTTATGCAGCTCTTTTCCATAAAGCTAGTCAAGTTCCAAAATAAACAACTAAAAAAGTCTTAAGAGGCCATACGATAGCTTTATTCAAAGAATTAAATTATGCCCTGACAATTTTATTTTTAAAAAAAAATGTCATGTCAACATTTCAAAATTTCAGAGTTTAATAGCTGCAATTTTTCCAGTAAATAACAACCTAAATTCAGTCTGTTCCACACACAGAGCTGTCACATGACTTCAAAAGACTTTGAATACAGCACACGCGTCATATGGACCTCTTTTATGGTGCCTTCTTTATATTATATGAATGAGCTCTAGTTGTCGGAAAAGAGCTGCATGAAAACCCTTAAGAAGGAAAGAAAATAACATGAAAAAAAATGACAATTTCATGTTTAACTGAACAACCCCTTTAAAAAAAATATTCTAATATGTCCATTAGCCTATGCAGAATAAACAAATGATGTTTCCAGACAACAGTTAAGCAGGCCTGTTAGGCATGATCATATCTGGTTTGTACATAGAGAAACCCCTTCAGCTAAGAGATAACACTTGCCACATTGCTGGCGGCTCTGTTTTGGATAGAAGACGAGAAAGGGAGATTCTCTCTCTCTTTTTTTTTTTTTTGGTTGGGGGGGGGGGGGGGGGGGCTTTCAGGGTCCGGACATCATAAGTTGTGTCTATGCAAATGTCCTTGATTGTGTTCATTTGTGCCATTGTCCAGCTAAGACAAACGGGGCAGTAATTAGGAGAAAAATGATGGCGTATCGAGACAGCACGATGGAGGAGGAGCCGAATGAAGGATAAACAACTTGAAAGAAAACAGCAAGCTTGGTGAGAACAACACAAGTGCATTGAAGGCAATTAATGAAGCTCCTTTAATTACGGCCTTTGCTCAATCCACCATGAGGAATGTGACAATTATGTCATTAAAAAGTTTGTAATGGGAAAGTGAGGGGTGAGTACATTCGAAGAGGATGAAAGACACAAGGCAGCGAAAAGGAAGTGCAATGAAAGAGAGGGAGAGAGAAATGACAGGGCCCAACTACAAAAAAGAAAGTCTCAAAGGAGGAGGAAGCACATTACTGGTGCACATTGACAGACTAGATTAACATCAAACGATCAGCACAACAGAGGGTATATTCATTCAGGAGGAGCTAGCAAGGTGGTACTTTGATGATGCTAAATTTGGCAGAAAGAGCAACTTGCTGAATCGGCGAGGGTTCCAGTTTCATGCCTCGCAGTCTGACAGGTGGAGAAGAGAAAATTTAGTACAAAAAAGCCACCGCATGAAGTGTCCCTTTGCACCGCCAAAGGTTGTGCGACCTCTCTCTGCGGCACGGACTTGCCGTGGGACGCCGCCGCACGCTAGACAGGACATGCCGTGAGCCGGTCCGGTAGAAAAAAAGGAACAGACTAGGGCGCTGAAATTTGCATCAAAGATCGAGTTTTCCTTGCATGGAAAATTAGCATTTGGGAAAGTCTTTCAGGCGGTCCTGCTTGTACACCTGTGCAGCCTTTGTGGCTCTTGATATGCAAAACAATCTCTCCCTCGGTTCGACTTCTCCACCAACAACAGTCTTATTCATGGTGCCCTGCACTTTCTTCCACAGCCATGCAAATCTTGCATTTATATATGAAAATAGGGATCACGTCCCTAAATATCTTCCTGGTCACGGAAGGTGTGGTGCGCCAGGTTCTCTGTACCTGCGATCACAATAAACCTTGTCTTTGACCTGATCTAAATGAAAGAGAGGGGACGATTTTTTGCTAATAGTCAGCTAAATGATGATGTTGTAAGGATAGTGTTTGAATGACCAGAGTCCCACTGGGCAGATATTGATAGTGAGCTGAGCGGTAAATGTGAGCTCTGCAAATTGCATTTGACAAGGACACTTGGGCCTGAAGCATCGCTCCCTGTTTGCCTCATCAAACAGACAGATGCATGACTGTGTTTCAGCTCCCAAAAAAAGAGAAAAAGTCTTGTTCACTTTACCCCCAGGAGTACAGTGAGGGGAGGGGGGAGGGGGTGGCTTACGGGATGAACAGCTTGCCATTCATTGTCTAATCATATAAAGAGATCATTTAGCTGTATTAATTTTAAAGCTCTGAACTGCGCCAACATTAACGGAAAGGATTCAAAGTAATACCTTACGCATCACTGCTTGAATCTCACCTCGTAATACACTGTGGCCTGATAAGGTGAATGCAGTTGCTTAGTAGTGTGAAACAAACGGAACGGACGAAGGCTCACCTCAAAGTCGTTGGCCTTGTTGTAGTGCATGTTGAGAGCGCGGAAAAGCTCGCAGTCCCGGCTCACGCTCAGCTCTTCTACCCCTGTCACGCCGTCGTTGATGGACTGCCGAGCAAATTTCTCCATCTGGATGTAGTAAAACTCACGGAAGTTACTGAACCACTTGATCAGCTGTGATGTGATGCAGCGGTTGAACTATGAGAGAGAGAGAGGGGGAAAAAAGAGAAACACTTTTTGTAAGATTTGTTACTTTTGTAAGATCGGTCCAGCACAGAGAAATCCATTTTCAAATTTAGAGAGTGCCTTTGTGCCCATAAGTAGATAAGTTGGGTTTTTTTTTTTTTTAATAATTTTTTGTAATCGGTGATATTATGTGGTTTTCTACATGTAAATTATCACAAAAAAAGAAATATTATTATTATTATTATTAATGTTTTTTTCTGAAAAACTTACAAGAAGGTTCTTTAGTCTGTGTTTACTGAAAACTAAAAAAATCAACATGGACGGGTGTGACTAACCTCTAATCTGGTTAGCCAGTGAGACCCTTAAATGTCAGAACAACAGATAAGACATTTGTTTCTACAAACGTGTTTACTTCACATTGTCCTTGAGGATGATGGGTAAGCAAACAAACCCGTAGCTGAGAAAGATTGGTCAGTGGGGTGTTTTTTTTTTTTTTCCCAACAAGGCTTACACGGTCGGTTGGGATATTTGCTGTTGTGCGCAAATGCAAACAATTCAGGGTTGAGTAGATGAAATTATAATTGTGTCAATAGCCTGTAATGCAGTGACGGCAAATTTACATATCACGTAGCGAAGTTAATTCTGACATGCCCCAGGTCTTTCCCTCACACTGAAGTGAATGATACTGAGTTAAGAAATCAAAATGAAATAAAAAAGTTCTGCATTAATAGCTGAGTAACTCAAAGCTGGCTATATTTGGAGTGCCTGATTCTAGATCAGTAAACACACAGTGCTCCGTTTGCCCTGTGTACTTGCCCCATGACCTTAGCAAATGACCCGTGCGACAGCCTTTGGTACTTTCTGTGTGTGCAACTACGTGTGTATGTTGATGTGTGTGTGTGTGTGTGCTGTGTCTGCCAAGAGTGTGAATGTACAGGACAGCTGAGTTGAATGTAGCCAAGTTAAAAGCTATAAATCCAACGGGCTTTCTGTTGGCTGCTCTGACACGCAGCCTCCTGCCTTTTGTCATTACAGGTGTTCATCAAGCCTTCATTGCCTTTGCCTCCCCTTCCATACCCTCAAAGAGCATTAATCAAAAATCAACAGCGAGCACTTATCTATCTGTGGCCATGAGAACATGCAGGCCTCTGTTTAGATGACAGCTGAGGAGAGAGAGAGAGAGAGAGAGAGAGAGATCGAGCATGAGGAGAAAAAAGAGGAAGGACAAGGAACAAAGAGGGGGGAGGGAGGGCAGCCGTGTTTTCCGAGGGTAGATGTAATTACCGTGTAGAAACTTGTCTCCATGCTTGCAAATTTAAGATAATGATGTGAATGAGAATTCATAGCGGGGACTCCAAGTCGGAGAAAGAGTCAGAAGCCACGACAGGCTGATAGGTTTCCCCAAAAGGCCAGCCGAGAGCATAATTACTGCGCCACCGCCAGGGTTCTTCTCCCATAATTCAGCAGAAAATGATTAAGTCGTCATCCCGAGGCATCAGTCTGCAGAAGTTCAAACATGTACTTAACCTATCCAGGAATTATACATTTGGCCTGTGTGTCGCCTCTGCCTTCATTCAGCCTAAAAGCCAGCGAGAACAGGGGTTTGAAAAGAAAGAAAGAGGCGAAAAAAAGAACAACCAAAGAAGCAAGGCTATCTGATCTCTCGCTTAGCCCCGTTTCAATAGACGTTAAACCTATTAGGATCTACTGAACTCGAGGGCCTTCTTTTTTCCCCCCACTTTATCTGCGGAGCGAAATGCACTGTCCAAATTTCCAGACACTGAGATAAGAACCCCGGCCCCCGTGACGACTTACTCCGGCCCCCCCACCACCCCCTTAATTCTTTTAGAATAAGAAACAAAACATTACAAAATGATAGCAGACTGCTCACTGGGGAATGAAAATTGCTTTGACATGGAGATTAGGCTCTTCTATTGTCATAAGACATTGTCTCATATGAGTGGGGCTTGCAGAAGAGTCGGATAAAAGGCGAGAGAGGGGGGGATTTTTTTTCTAGAATGGCTAGTGGATGACATAATGGAGAGCGCAGAAAAGTAAGTCCGCATGACATCGTTTGGCAGCGCTGTATAAAGGGAGATTTAAAAAGCATTGTTGCCCAATAGAAATACCAGAGATTCGGGGGACAATGGAGCCACGTTGCTGGAACGTGACAACTCAGCAATTAAGGATCATGTCATCTGCTTGTCAAACGAAAATAACCAGTCTAGCTCTCTCAGCTCTTAGCCACCACATGCACCGAACAAAATATTAAATGACATATCGTGGAATGAAAAAAATAAATAAATAAAAACACCTGCAAACGCAGTCATTTTTCTTTTGGGGGGATTTTGGGGGTCTGAAAGTGAGATGTGTTGGTATTCACACACAAAGTTTTGAGAGTCCAGTTCTTAAATTAAGTCTATTGAAGTCATTTAAGAACTGGACTGATTTAAAGAACTAAATTAAGAACTTAATTTAAACTTAAGTCTATTGACATGTTTCAATTTCCTGTGCAAATATATACAGAGGTGTTATTATATTTTCAGTAATTTTGTTTGGATTTAATATATTATAATTAAAGAATTATTGTTGTTGTTTCTATAGACAAATAGGTCATTGTCTTGATGTTTTTATATTTATGTTGTATAATATATATATATATATATATATATATATATATATATATATATAAATATATATTTATTTTTTATTATAAATAATTATTTAATACATTATTTTAAATTGGCTAAAAGTAACTTTACAAGACAATATTTTAAAAAATTTTTACAGTCCACTCTTAAATCAGTGTCGTATAAGTGCAAAATCCACACACACACAAACACACTAGTTTCATAAAATCTATTATTCTGGACATCATTTCCAGTGCTGTTCTAAGAACACAAAATGCAATGCTTCCCATGGGACACCTCATCCTGTTATTCTCTACCCCCACAAAAAAAAAAAAAAACCTTATATATCCAATGAGCACGCTCAAAAGATTCATAAAACAAATCAGTCTGACGCCTGTAATGTGTCCGGGCAGCAGTTGACTCAGAGAACAAGGGTGTACGTACGGGAGCGAGAACATTTCACACACTCTTGCTCACGGGACTGTGAAAGATTATTCCTCTGGTGACAGAGATCCGCTCTTTCCAAGACACCGGGGGAAGACTTGACCTGTCACTCCGCACGTTTCCTCTGTTAAACATGGACAATACAGGCTTTCACACATGCTTGGTGGGGACGCTACTTATACGGGGGTCTGTGCATTTTAAGACTCCCCCCCTCACCACACACACACAGCATGCACTTAGATTGTGAATCTGGGAAAAGTCGAGCTCTATAGAGGGAAGTAAGCTAAGTGCCCCAGTAGGTTACTTGATATTCAGCTGTTAATGGTACATGGTATGCTGTGTGTTTAAAGGCAGTCAGGCAGCCGAGTGACAAAGCCTGAGCAGCTAAAATAATTTCCCTGACCTACGGTTGACCTTACTGGAGCTGTCCTGCTGAAACGTATACGCCTCAACCCTTACAGGGTGACACGACCCCCGCTCATACTTGCTTTGACTGCTCATAATCAGTGTCACACCATCGTCCTGCTAATACTCCTCTTAACCTTTGACCCCTTCTCATTTAGCCCTCAAAGTCTACGGTAACTAAGCCAGTGGACCACCTCTCCATGCGCAAAGTGATGTGAATATATGCCATATGAGGTTGATGTATATTAAAATGGGAAGAAATACTGCACAGGAGGCGAGAGAGGTGTAAAGGATGAACATGGTAGTTTGGCAGTACATCACATTAGGATAATGACCCTGTGTTTTATAATACTTTGAGTGACAAATATGATCACAGTTCAAGGAACAACTGCGAAAAAGAGATACTGAGGAGGTACAAAGGTATTATCCGTTACATAAGAACTCCAATCACTGGATTGTCACAGTTTCCTGTTGATTTCATGTGAAGGAAGGCTGCATTCATCTCTTTATGACTACTGGCTCACTCCGTGAAGTCACAAGTGGTGCGCACTCTCCGTAAAAAAGCAGCTTCCTCTTCCTGACTGAGCTATAATCTATAATCATCATCACCACCATCATGGTTAAAGTATGATATCATTCAAATCTCTTTGACTCACACCTTTAACCATAATACATTTACATTTAGCCTTGACTGTACATGTAGAATTGCTTTAATAATAATAACAAAATATTATTATCATTATTACTATTTACTTTTTCAGAGCATTTTAATTGATTCGTCTTAAACATCTTGATTGCAGTTTAAGTCACCATTAATGTAGCACATCATTTCAGCCATTCATTTGTATTTTATTTTTAAAAAAAATTCTAAATGTTCATTCTAAATTTTTGTTCGACAAAGTGATTAAATAGTTGCTCTACTACAAAGGCAGAATGTTTTTTTTTTAATTATCCGATTACAGACAATTTAGGTAAAACAGTTGTCAAATCAACCTATTTCCCACAGTCATTATTTCCTATTTAGATCCCATCATTATGATGCCTAAACGTCTTTAATCACTAATTCCTGTAACTTTCATAGGCTTATACAGCCGTAATTAGTCAGTAATTTATGCTTAATTCCCTTACATACATACTAGTTGATCCAACAAACACATGCCACCCATTGTTCCCTTCAGCTTAAGCAACCCTGAAAACCATCTCTCCCAGGACACTGACCTTGTTTTGGAAAATGTTAATTTAATGTGTACAGATTTTCACAGCCTCGTCTGAAGGGGAATTGTAATTGGGCCGTCTTTAATTTAAGGTTTTGATAAACTTTCTCTTTTGTGTCTTAAAATTGAGGTACAATTAGGAGAAGTTTCAAGGGTGTTTTCACTGAAATCAGAACAAAAAAAAAAATAAACAAAAAAAAAATCTGCTTTCTCTGAATATTACATTCAAAGTATTTTCGAGACATTAAACGATATGGTTTCCTACTGAAGCATAAGCGCTAACAGCGAGCGATGAATGGCAGTGCGTACTCATGAGTATTAAGCTGCTGGCAGATTTAGATGGATGCAACAGAAGCATGTGTGTGAGGATGAGGTGGTCACCCTGGACCCAGCACAGGGGCAGCTGGGAGTGAGAGGACCCTGCTCTCCTCATTTAAATAATGTGGCCTGAATCTGTCACATTATTTCTCCTCCGTATGCTCCCTGTATGACGCATCAACAACAAATTAAGTTGTAAATAAAAGACAATTGGTGCCATTGTTTTGTTTGTGTTGTTGTGCTCCATTTTGTTTGTTGTCTCCCTCCTCCTCTCCATCCCCTCCCGCTTTCGCTTGTTCATTTCTGCCGAACCTCTAATTTTCTCAGCTCTTATCACCCTCTGCCTCCCACTTCCACAGATCAGTTGGGAATGGGAACTCTAGGAAATTATCGTCCGACAAGTTAACAGAGACAGAGAATAGTTGTTTGTGCTCGCTAACCAGCAGTGACGCGACAGAATAAAAGAAGTTTACAAAAAAAAAGGTACTCTCATGATCAGTTTTTTTTTTTAAATGAAAGCGTAAGTGAGTAAAAGGGAAAGTGGGACTTGTGCTATGCCGTGTTGTTCTCTTCTAGGAGATTAAGGCCAGTTATTTTAATTGGGGGGTGGAGGGGTAGGGGGAGCTGGCCGTCTGTTTGGGACCCATCTGGACTAATGGGACAGTGCTACTTCACACGACATAGTTAACGGTCGACGGCGAGCTCACCTTCACGTCTGAGAAGAACATCTTCAGCATGTTGGAGCTGGGGTAGCGTGTGTAGAAGAACATCAGCTTGGCCTTCTTCAGATGGTTCGGAGAAAGCCCCTCTTGGATTTGAAATTTGAAGGTTAGGGAAAATATTCGTCATCAGTCATCAAATAAAGACAATAAATCCCATTTATGATGAGCATAATATTGAATAAATTAAAACAATAGATAAATATAATGCAAGTTCCTCAATAAAATCAGCTTCCCTTGTATATTTCATATTTACCACAAGACCAATAATTACACTGTAGCAAACCCTCCTTAATTATTTCAGTTTTCTGACGACTGCATATTAACACCTACAGAGTTCCAGTCAATGTAGCATTGCAAGTCAATAAACGTCTGCTTATCCCAATAAAAACGCTATTTATCTGGAGGTGGCACTGCCCTCTAGATTGGTAAACAGAGGGCAGCTGAGGGGGGTCCCAGGAGAGACCGTGGCTAACCAGAGCCATCTACCCATTACAATTAGCCCCAACCCCCAACCCTCCACCCTGAGCCTCCTGGCACGGCCCCCGCTCTGCCAGTTAGGCCGGCTTTAGCCACATCTGCGCTCCAGACTGGCCCAGCCATTTCCTCTGCAAATTAACGGCTTTATAATTTATCAAAAATGAAGATGCATGCGGGGCTAAATCAATGGGCCCCCACAAGGTCAATTAAGAGGCTCACCACTCTCCCCCCCCCCCTTCACTATAAAGCATGGCACCGTCATGGCAGCTCGCACTGAATACAGTATCTCACTGTGTCTGTTATGTAAAACACTAAGCGCTGGAACAGTCGCGACAATAAATGCTGCAACTTACAAAAGCAAAAGTAAGTGCATCTACATGCAAGAAACTAAAAACAATGGACTGTCTGCTATTTGCAATGTTGAGCCTCTCTAATAATAGTGTGTATGTAGATTGGTGTGTTCCTTCTGCCAAGAGAGGAGGAGAACCCTAGGTGACCTCCATTAGGCTGATAGGGAAGACCAAAAGAGCTTTACTCTCTTTCCTACCATCTGTCATAATGCATACAGCAAATAACAGCAGTGAATGACAGCGAGGGAGGGAGAGAGAGAGAGTTAAGCTGTCTTTTTCACAACAAGTCAAATTTTCCAAGGACCTAAAGGCTCATTTAAAAACCTAGAGAAGGGAAAAGCCCAGGCAGCGAGGCTGCTTCCCAAAAGTGCATCTTCATGAAATGGAGCGAATAGGCCGAGTCGTGAAATCGAGGGCTGGTAAACACCTTCATGGATTTTTTTGTTCAAGAGTTTAATCGCATTGAGAAGCTCTTTAATCTAATGGGCATCGCACATTAACAGCGGTGAGGAAGTTGAGCACTGAATCATTTGCAGTATTTACTGAGCGACCATCATATCGGTTCTTACTGCTCTGTCGCTGCTCTGTTAACAACATTCATAAATCCCAGGTATATCATTACTCAGTGCCATTAACATTCAAGACATCCACATTTAAACAAAACAAACAGCCGCAGATCTTGGGAACAATGTGTTGAGGATGACTCGACGGGGCTTGACTCACCGAACGCACATTTCCTACAAGTAGACCTGGCTTCCAAGAAAAATACAGCCGTTCCTAGGATACGCAAATATGCGAAATGACAAAATAGATCGAGTAAACACTGGCCCACTCAGTGTAAGACAAGCCGGGCCATAGTCAACATGAATGAAGGACATAATGCAAACATGAATATGAAGTATTTCAGGGGAGGAGAAAAATGGGGCAGCTGTGGTTTATAGCCAAATGAGACACTACATAAACAACGCCACCATAGATGCACTGCATCATCAGGCTTTTTTAGGTCTGGTTTTGTATTAAGCATGTTGCATGTAAGGGAGACAATAACTAGTGAAATGTGATCCAACAGCCAGGTGTAAGGAGAGAAAGGAAGGAAAAAGAACATAGGGATGCTAAATCCATAAATTAATGCTAGACATCTGTTCAGCAATATGAAAGATTAGAGCAACAAATGTACTACAGCTGAGACTTTAGCTCTTGCTTAGGAAAAAAGACTAGAAAGCGTTTTCAGATTGTCAGCTGAAAAAAAAAAAATAGTACTTTGATGAAGTGCTTTGCGACACTCTTTTGACATATAAATGTATAAATCAGAAAGGACTCGAATTTTGTCATTCCACCAGCAGAGTGATTTTGAAATCGAGAAGGTCTTTTATTAAACCACTTTGGCAACCGAGTTTGAAAAGTGATCTGAGCGATGTCTTCATAGTGCACGTTTTCTTCGCTTCGCTTTAATTGATGAAACCTGATTCTGCGAGCAATAGCTGCATCAGCACTTGAGCATGGAGCTAACGCAACCATGAACCTCTGTCCTCGTCTAATATATTAGACATGCAAACTGGCTTCACCTGCCACCCACCCCCACCCCCACCCCCAGCCCATTCTTACAACAGCCCTGTGCCAGAGCTGTTCGGTCTCTCTATATGCAAATGATGGGGGAAACTGAACAAGGCTATTTTTCTTGAGATGCAAAGAGAGCACGTGACAAGGAAGATCATGCTGCCCATGGCTGAAGATAATTGGCTGCTTGTTTCTTCTCAAATTTGAATGGAAATTCATATTTGATTAAACACCCTATTTTGCAAATATTGAGATGTTGTTGTTCAGGTCCCAACTGAGCAGGTGTGCAAGTATACTTACAGAAATAATAGACTCCCTCTGAGCTGAAGAGTGCACCCCTGCCTGGGATGCCGTTTCTCTTTGCATCGTTAGGATGAATTATTTAGCCAGTTAATTAAACAATATATGTAATTGAATTAATATTTCATTTGAAACGGCAAAAGTTACTGTTTGATTTAAAAAAAAAAAAAAACGTAGTGTTTGATTTTCTTAATTTAAAGCTTATCTAAGACCTAGTCGGCATTTGGCGAAAGGTTAAAAAGAGGGAAAGGCGTGAAAGAAAAGCAGCTACCTGCTAACACCTGTTCACACCGGATAAAAAAGAAAAGACCTACTGCCAGGCAACAGCTATCAGTGTACATTTACCTAAAGCAAGCTGGAGGTGTTCATAAGAAATAGGCTTTGTTGTTTCATGACACATATTATATGAAATTAATTTTTAAAATGACAAAGCTCAACAGTAGGGACGTTGTTCCTCATGTTGCTTTCACTTGACACTAAATGAGCTCAAATCCTCCTAAATGAAGTGCTCCTCCACTGACAGAGATCTTTTACCATCCTTCTAACACAACTTTCTAGGGCCTCTAAGCAAAGGATCCCACTTGTCCTTTTACTTCCTGGCTTTGAAATATGATTTGCTTTGAGCATTTATGTACAAAGTCTTGCATGCGCTGTGATGAAAGAGGGGGTTTTATTGTGAGTCTCCCTGTGATAGTGTGAGAACAGAGAAGATGGGAGGTATCTTAGCCACGGCGGGGCCTTTCAGCACTTCTCCATATAGCGCACACTTAAAAGGCTCCATCCACTGAGGTCTTTTTAATCTTCAGACTACTAGAGGAACACTGGTCTAGAATGTGCCGATTAATGGAGATTTATTGAAATTAAGTTTATGTCTTATAAAGGTTCTGTCTGGCATTCATATGCTATTTAAGCCACGCAATTACATAAACACATACAAATACAACAATCAAAATATGCTTTTCTCTTTTTTGAAAGGATATTGTACTTCCTGAATATGGGGAGATGTCAGACATGTCCTGGAGGTCTCCGCACTCAGACTTGATGAGGGACAAGGACAAGCCTTCATTCCCTGGGTGTGTTGGTGACATGGAACGATGGTGGCTGAGGTGGTTGGACGACATCTTGGTCCGCAGGCTGGTGGTCTCTCTGGACAAATCCAGAGACTCGGGAGAAGACCTATCCTTTCCTGGGTAATGCCCTGTTGGGCCACCTAAGGGGCTCTGGAAAGGGTAGCCCATTAGAGGAAGGGGGAAAGGATGGCGGAAAGAGGGAGGACTAAAGCCCATTGCGGAAGATAATGGTGAGGGGTGCAGGGAATGGTGGTGGTGACTCCCGGGTGTGGGAAGAGACCCAGTCTGATCTGAAGAGTTCTTTCTCACTACCAAAGGCAGGGCCTCCGTTTGGTCATTCGAGTTGTGCACCTGCATGCTAGCAAAAGTGTCCAGGGGGTTAGGAATGATGACATCACCGAAACATTGCAAGCGCTGGTTGGCAGTATGGAAGTTTGGGTTTTCTCCATTGACTGCGAAACGATCAGGGGGCATCTGCAGGGGTGGGAAAACCTGAGGAACTGGGCGTGGAGGCTTGGCAAAGACCTTCACCACGGTGTCCACAACTTGGGACATTGCCGTATTGAGCTCTTGTTTTAGCGTCTCTGCTAGCTGTTTGCCTTCTGCGTGCATGGAGGTTGGTCCCTGGCTCTTTCCTCGTGACCCATCACGCTTGGGTTTGTCCCCCTCCGCCATCATGTTCTGCTCCCGAATAAGTGCGCGTGCTCGATCCAAGAAGTGCCCCGGGTCCAGGTCAGACATCTCGTTGTCGGAGCGATCTGGGACCGAGTCGTGGGCACGATTGTCCATGCCATCAGAACGCATGCTGTCTTCAGAGATGTTTCCATCTTCATCATTCTCAGAGTCAGTGCTGTCGTAAATCTGGTAGAACTTCTCTTGCAGTTGCCGGAGCTGCTTCTGCATGTCCTCCAGCTGTAGCTTCAGTTGCCGGCGCTCCTCGTGTTTCTGCTCTTTGCGGGCAGAGACGAGTTGCTGGAAACTCTGCTGCTGCTGCTGTGGCAGTTTCTGCTTGCGCTTGTTTTCCCGGTAGTTCTCACGGGGACTCGGGGGCTGGGCTGCCCCCTCACGCTCGTTATCACCAGCACGGAGCGTGACGCTTGGAGAATGGCTCATCCCACGGATGATGTTTTCCACCCGGGCTCGTTTGGCCCTAAGATGCTCATCTGTTAGCCTCTCCATTTCAAATTGGGTCATGGAGGGCCTGTTGAATGGTGAAAGGCACTCCTGAGGGCTGCCCCGCGAGGAGTTGCTGCAAGCATCCTCCTGCTGGATCTCTGAACCGGTGCTCGAGAGGCCACTTCCCTGGAAATTAGGCTCACTGCCTCCGTTTTTGGTCAAATTGTTTTTCAGGAGCTGGGAGATGATTGTTGCCCCCGGAAAGGGCATCATAGCGTCTTCGTAAGAGTTCGCCCTCTTCAACAGCTTGCGAAGCACGTTGGACTTCTCGCCGTCTGCGTGCTGCACCACTGAACACTCAACATCTTGATCGGAACCGTGGGGATTCATGGCACTAAAAAAGGTTGCTTTTGTGCGGGTAAAAACCACAGATGTTTGCCCAACAGTCCTCTTCACTCCTATGTCAACTCTTCGTCTCTTGGTTTGTCTGCTTAAGAGGGATGTGCTGTCATGGTCAGGCATCACTGGAACAGTTATTGTGCCATTTTTGAAAGCCTGTCAGCTGGGCACAGCTCGAGAACCCTGGGAACCTAGCCAAAAAGAAAGGACTGATGAATAATTTTCTTTATATGTCTCTAAGTTTCTTGTACCCAATCCTAAATGCAATTTGAAATAGCCTTAAAGAACAACACACAATGCAATAACAATGCTTGAAGTTGGTACAATATATTCAATAAAAATGGACAAAAGAGGTTAACGGCAAATAATATATAATTAGGGTCAGTTACAAAGTTTTAATAATCTCTCCCTATCAAAAAATAAAATAAAAAAAATGTGTAAATCTGCCAGGAACAATTAAAAAAAAACATAGCCTACTGCTGTGTTTAGCCAGACATGTCCTGCTACTATTGTGCGCACATACATAGCAAAGTTGCAGGCTTTATTCACTTTGGTAAGTTTTGTCAGTAAAACAGTTACAGACACTTAATATTATCTTTTGGAGATTAATATTATCTTTTGGAGATTAGCAGGCACTTATATCCCCCATCTAATTGAAAGAAAATACAACAAGTATAATACACCACATTAATTCAATTCTGGGTTTCCAAAACAATTGGTTTGTTGATGACCAAATGAATTTAAAGCAAACACTTTTTGTGGATAATGCAGTGTAATAAAGGCTAATTGCACGTTTTACAAGTTTGTTGACGGTTATTTAAGATCGCCAAAATTATTCATGTCGCTCAAATCAGATGATAAAAAGTTTGAGTTCTTCTTACATAATGAAAAAAGCAAATATGTTGCTTTGCTCATTAACGCATTGTAAATAGACAATTTCATCTCTCAGTCGCACTGAGCATGACTAAAGTGCACAGTTTGTTTAACAGATCATCAATAACGCGACAACTTTGTCTAAAATTTTACCCTAAAGAAAATAATAACTCTAATAATATAATACGGCCTTTTGACAACTCGTTTGCAAATATTTAGAATAAATACCTAATGCTGTGTGCCATGCACCATATAAGATGTCTAACTTTAATTAATTGTTCTTCAAGACGCACCGATTAACATAGTCAGAAGATTACATTTAAGATACAAAATAGAGCGGATACACCGCATTTGCTGTCACTAAATACAGACATCTGACAAGTCAAGACAGCAAGGCAACAAAATCTGTTCGTTTTAGATGTATTTCACCTCATACGGCCACTGCGTCCTATGGGCACCTCTCCAAATATTTAAAGCTGTTCAACTTAAAGCCACAAAAGTTGCGATAGAAAGAAAATACAACTAATTCAATTACAAATTTATGTGAACACACGATTCGGAAAACGCAGTTGCTGTGTTAACCAAAACATTTGTGTAAGTTTTTTGGAAATCGCAGTTTTGAACCATTAAGACCCAAGGACCCCCCACTCATTCTCTCAGCAAACCCAGAGACACCCAAAAAGGCTAGACTTGATAAGTAACACTGTAAAATAACGTTTTAGCAGAAACATTAACTAACATTATATATTGTAAAACATAGTTTGAGATAAGTTTATAATTAATGTTTTATATCTCCACAGAGTCCTGATTGAAAATTCTGCCTTATAGGAACAGAGTATGTACCTCACACCTAAATATTTAGCCTATAAATAGTTCATTTTGACACTAAACACCTAAAACAGACTTTACAGTTATATATAGGCCTAGGTTCTCTCCTAAACTCTAAGCTGTGTTGTATCATTGCTTTCACGTCAGAAAACGATGATGATGATGAAGTAACGCGTCAAGCTGGAGTGCCAGTAAAAGTCAGAGGCTCCGTATAACCTTACGCTCTTAAAAATAAAGGTTAGTCAAGTGTTCTTTTTTAAAACCTTATAGTTTCAGCAAAAAGCCAACTTCTTATCAAGAACATTTTTTAAAGTTGTCAGTTTGGCTATTTGGAGATTTTTGAAAAAAAAAGTTCTTGATATTAGGCTACATTAGCCTATAGGTTCTTCAGTTCACTGTTGTCTCTCGGCTCTTTAAAGCAGTATAACGAGGCTTTCTAAACAACTAGAAAATAATAGCTTTTGTGAAACTTAAAAGATTCTCACATGACACCGCTGTCAGGAAACCCCTTTTTCTATCTGAAACCTTTAACTTACGAAATAACGTTAATTCAGCTATAGCGCATCTATGTAAAACACAAGGAAATTTGTTATTGGCATAAAAAACAACATACGACTGAGAAAAAAGTAAATGGAAATAAGGAATATACGCAAAATGTTAAAACTACATAAACCTCCGAAGAGATAGACTGTCCTATTGCGAAGAAGAAACGGCAAGTTCAGGCTGAAGGCAAATGTTTCGCGTCGCCTCTCCAAAGTAGCAATATTACAAGAGCGTATTTATACTTACTTTACGGAAAACATAGGGATGCAACCCTTCCAAAATGATGCAAATTTATGATAAAGTAAAAAAAAAAAAAAATAGAAACCGAAGAGCGTGAAGGATACAGCGATACAGCGCATCAGTAGTAGAACAAAACTCAGCGCGAGCGCAAATGACAAGGTTACTTACTCTGAAGATGAGAGCGAATTGAGCTTCTTCACGATAGTGTAACAGAGAATACAGAGGGTTGTTCGCCCCGTGATGAATATTGTAATTTCTCGGGACAAGCGAGAGCGAAGAGAGTGAGATAGAGAAAGAGCTCTTGTGCGCCGCTCCTCTCTCTGCATGAAAACTGTGTGTCTCAGCGCACGCGGCCAGGAGGAGGCTGAGAGCGCGCGCTCGAACCAACAAGATTCACTTTAAGACGCGGCTGAAGGAAGCAGGAAGACGGCGCGTCATAATCATAGTGATGTAACGCTCGCACCTACCAATAAGAGCAGTCCGCTGGATTTAGAGGAATACAAAACAAGTGAAGTTGAAGACTCCGCTCAAGCAAAAACGAATGATACGGGAACCTTTGTGGGATATCTGTAAGGATATGCACTTTTTAAACAATATGTTCTCTTTGTGGATTTTGTTAAAATTATTTATTTACAAAATGAACAAAAGTTGTTTTTGCTGACTGAAATGTATATTTGTTTCCTTCAGTGTAGATGCACGCTCAGCATGATGCATTTGAAATATAAATCGCACCAATGCGCACTAAGTGCACTTGCAACGCAACTTACTTTTTATCCAGAAAAGTAAATACAGTTAATTTGTCGAATGATTCATATTTATATTATATCATCATGTAATTCATAAATGCGAATTTCATCACCATGTTTAAAAATAGGACAAAACTCACAACATTCATGAAATGTAGTATGCAGGCCCCGAGAAGTGACCGCTGCCTCGACCTCGTGCGTGCCTGGGTTCGTGAAAATAGTTTCGCTTGCCAAGGTTGTCTTTGAGCTATGGGCTTCTTCTACTTAAGACCTTGCTCTTTAGATCCCTCCTCCTAGCCTCCACAGTCAACAGATGAAGGAATATGCTGAAGCTTTGACGTGTTCTTATTAACTGTTATTTGAATACGGCTAAATAGTCTCTTTCTTGCATAGAGGAATCCGTAAGATTATCCCCAAAAAACGCACGGGAGGTTCTGATTGTAAAATGAGCCACATATCCATCATGCGTGCTTTTATGATCAGTCGGTAAAGTTTAAAACACAACCAAATGGATATTCTATTCTATATGAATAGAATAGAACAGAATAGAATAGTGTTGTCTTTCCTGCGACGGTTCTTTAGGTTTGATTTATGCACAGATAAAGTGCACATAAATGTGCAGCACATGTGTAGTACATTATCAATTAACTTGCATTTATATCTGTCTTGCTCATAAATTTGAACCACCACGCTAAAATAAAGTTCCGCGTTGTGGAAAGGGAAAAAACAGGATTATTTGGACACATTATTTAGAGAGCCATTAGCCAATCAAATGTTGATTTCTCACCATCCTATCAGGTGCTTCAGCATGTAAGCAGATTTCTCAAAGCCTTAACCTACTTTTCTGTTGTCGCTGTTCCTGCTCATTGTTGAAATTAAAAAGTGTATTCAGAACGTAGCATATTACTCATTTTCCGCGATACATGTGAAAGTTTTTCCCCTTTTTGTGCTTTAAAGCCACTGCCTCTTGTGTTCTTATAGCAGCTCATTTGAACGAAATGTGATGTGAGTGACCCTGTTTCGTGAGTAATGATTAAAATATCTTTATTGATACCAAAAAATTAATAAAAAAATTGTACTAGTATATTTACCTACATGTATAATAGCTAAATCAATCAGTCAATGTGATTTGGTATTCTTTAAGAAAAAAATTTCAGTGGTCTCATTCATTCCAAAGCATGTTTGTGCTGTCAAAGCAAATGACAGCAGCGCAGCTATTTGACCTATTAATGGGATTATTTACTGTAACTCTGTTGATCAAAATTCTCTTATGAATTTGGATTAGAAAAGCCAATCTGCAAATGCATTCAAAACAAACTTTTTAACCTCTGTTATTATTATTACATTCATTATAATATTTAACATTATTATTATTTTCGATTATTATCTACAAATGATTTTATATAAACGTGGTTACAATCTTATATTTTTAATAACATGCATCCCTCGAGATTTTTACCTGATGGTGAGTGTTTTCCCCCCCGACAGTGTTCCTCCTTCAACACGTACAATCATTGACTAGATGAAGTGTTTTTTTATTATTATTCATAACTAACTAAATAAAAAACACTTTTCTTCAAGTTTAGAATAGGATTCACTTTCACAGCAACAAGCCCCTTTCTTTTCCTTAAACGAGGACAAAAGGAAAGGCGTGTTGTTCAGTCCTGTTTCCATGTCGCAAGCAAATGTTATTGTGAGTGAATAAACGACTGGGAAGGCAGGATTTTTGCTGCAATGAATTTCTTTTCCAAAACAGGTGTTCCAACTTATTTTGTTAGCATCTTTCCCCAAAGGCACGCTCGGAGTGCGAGCTTAGTGGAAAAATACATGACAACATTAAAGCAATAGTGTTTGGAGAAGGAAAACGCCTCTTAGGTGTAGAGGAAACCTGTTTATTAACACCGCCACCTCTGATCTCTCTGTCACCTTTCTGCTGGACACTCAGTCACTTAATGTCTTAGACTCGCCTGTATTTCGTGAGGGATAACGGCTATCACTTAAATATCATATCGAATATCATAGGCTAATATATATTAGCTAGATGACGTGCGGAAACGGATTGATTACATTTTACGCGACAATTCAGTTGTCAATGCCTTAGCCAAGTCCGGACAATTGTTGCTTTTAACTGTTAGAAGAATACTTTAACAAATAGACTACAAAAAATAAACGAAACTTTATCTCAACAAAATGATTACACCGGTTTATCGACGCCGTCTATTTGAAAAGACAAGTGCTCACCTGCTCTCCCACAGTCCTTTTTTCCACTCAGCCCATAAAGTCGACGAGAAAATAAGGATTTAAAGATATTCGACATATATCAATAATTTTAGATTTAGAATTAAGATTATTAGCGCATATTATTATGTATTTGTGAGGGAACACGAGTTGAATTCCGATAGTAGGCTAGTCTACTGGAACTTTATTTGCTTTCTGCGTCTGAGAGTTTCAGTATTTATTCTCCAGAACAGCTGCAGTTAGGCAGCAATAGCTAGTTAGCCTACTTCTCTGTTTGTACAGACTCTGTCCACTGTGCGAATTATTTAACGACTTTCAGGAGAGTGACATCTTTAAATCCATTTCAGTCATCTCAGTCGGTTCGGTTGAAGTTTGTCTGGCACATTCCGAACGGTCTTTTGGCGCCCCTAGCGCAGATAACCATCTTAAAGATCGACCTACTCGATTATTGTAATATAATTGCTATTAAATAAATAAATAAATAAATAAATAAATAAATAGACAAAATAAATAAATAAATAAATACATGAATAAATAAATAAATAACAAGATGAACGGTAAATACGTGGGTTTGTTGATGTAGCAGCCTACACCTCGAAACTGACACCGATCGAATATCTGTTGCTATGGTGACAACCTTACCTAAATGGCGATTTCTGTTCGCAAGGGTTCACATTTAACGCACTCTTATGATACGTTGCTTAAAAACTCTGATAAAACTCATAAAAACACTGATATATGTAAAAACAATACGTTTTGTTTTGACTTCCTGAATACGCCCCCCTCCCTCCCCCTCATTTCGCCCCCCCGCGTCTGTCTAGTAGGCCTAATAGAGTTCGAATTATCCCAGTAATGTAAAACCGAGTGAGATTTGAGACTCTATTTGTTTAGGTAATTATTATTACATAGGGGCTATTATTATGAATGTGGGCTAATTATAGGCCACCAAGTAGCCTATAGGTCACTGCTTTTTTAAAAATATAGAAATGAGTCTAGCTCCACATGACTTTATTATTTGTTTTTTAAGGAGATATATTTCAATTGTATTATACACATAAGTGCAGTGGAAACACTATTTTATGAGAATCTTAAACTAACTTTCTTTTTTTTTTTTTTTTGGCAACATGGCACTTTTGTGAGTAGTGAGTAGAAACACAGCTGACACAGAGGTGGATTTCTATTTTATTTAATGTGTTTTGCCCAGGATAAATTTTGGCTAAAGATGTAGGCTATCAGTTATTCATAGTAAGCTGCTGCGGTTTGCATAACTGACTGAGAGAGGGTTTGTGTAACTTTAATCCATCCCGCAGTTAGAACATACATTTATTCAAAGGACCAAAGTTGATGGCCCAAATAAATTAGCAATTCAGATGCAATATCAACAAACAAGGCAAAAAAAAAAAAAAAAAAGAGAGAAAGAAATCAACTCGGCTTCATATGTCACTTCTGTGGATTACAGATGTCCTGGGGGCTAGTGGTAAAAAGAGGATCAGTGGGATAGACTGCCAACAGATAAACAGGATCTAATGCTGTGTGGACACTGACGTTGCCCTTTCATGCTGATCTATGACCCGCTACCTGAACCCTATGTGAGACCCCACTGGAGAAGCTGCTCTCAAATGAATGTTAACGCACAAACAAAAGTCCTTGAGTAAAGTGTATCTGCTCTGCAGCACATTTTGTATTACAGTATGTTAACAACTATTACATATGTGCTGATATGACAGAAATATTTGTTTCTTTGTCTCTAGTTGTAAAGCATAATTGAAGTATTAGTCTTGTTCCATAATATTCGGTCACGTCTCTGAGCATAATATCCTCCACCTAACTAATCACGCTAAAATTGAAAGGCCATATGAGGTAAAGAGAATAGAAGGAGAGAGATGTAATAAGACTAGATTAGGGGTGGCAGCACACAAGAATAGATATAAAAAGGGGAATATTACTGCACTGTAGATGCTGTTGTGCACAAATTCAGTCAGCTTCCAGGGGCCATCAAGATTCAGGGAGTAGCTATTATTCTACACATTAGCGCGGGCTAGCTAAAAGCTCTTATGCTTGAAGGGGTCTTGGAGGTCTTCAGGAAAAAGGATGTGGCACTAAGAGTGGGCAGTGTTTAAGAGACCCCTGGTACTCTGCGAAAATGGGAGGCTCTCGATGTGACAATGTGACATGCTGGATTCATTTGTAAGACTGTAGGAGCAGGGAATCGAATGCGGTATTGGGACATGGAAATTATGTTACGTCACGTAACCATTACCGTCACGTTGAAAAATAAGGAGGGAAAACAAAAGAACAGGCTGCAACGGAAAATAATGGCTGTAGAACATTTAAGGTGTTTTAAGTGTGCCTGGGGCGCAATGACATGAGATTAAAGTTTAGGACTCTTATGGGACTGATGAAGCCCAGTCTGTGCTATCAGATATACCGGCTTAATTCCACACGATTATACCTACTGTTTACCAAAACTGTCCCTGGTAAACACTAACAATCAATGCTGTTTGGTGCCATGGACGGAGCGAAGCCTTAAAGCAAACACGTTCTGTTGAAAGGTCACTTTCTACAGCAGCAAAAAGTGACGGTAGGACTGAAAGAAAGAAAGAGATCTTTATTAAATTGGCCATTTGTATATTAAAAATCGGATACCAAACCATATGCTCCGTCCCGCTGCACTTTCTGCATGGGTATTAAACAAATCTATAGATCATAAATCTCAGTTTGTGTCCGCAAATACAAACAGCAGTTAAACCCCTTTAAAAGTCATTTTCAAATGACATCACTTTTACAATATTATTATATACTCCATCCGTTCCCCTCCCCATATCCACCGCAAAAAACAAATTCTCTTTTTCTGTTCGTCTCATGGCACGCAAAACAATTTAGGAAGACTTGACGATTCATTTGTGCAACCTTCAAAAACAATCCAATCTTTTAACCAGTCGCTTATTCCGTAGTGACCATATGTGTTTATTCATTTCTCTGTTGTGTTTTTTCCCCCCTTAAATTCACTGCCGAGGTCTTAAACTTAACACGTAATTACACAATCGCGAGCCCTGCCTGTGATAAGCTTTTGAATGAATGAGTAGCCACTGAGACTAAATTGCTCTCGCTCTCCTGCTCCCTCCTGTCGCGTCTGGCCGTTAGGTCAGGGTTTGAGGCGAGTTGGCAGTGCGGAGAGGACCAGGCCTGGCCCCGTGCCTCAGTGCCTGCGGGACCCTACCCAGACTGCCACGGCCCCTCTGGCCTTCAGAATGAATAGAGGTCTTCAGACACCAGTGCACTGAACTGAGGCAGCCTTTTCAGCAAACAATCCTATCTGCTTCCTCTCCACTCCAGTCCTCCTGCAACTTCACTGAACTCGTCCAGTTTGTCAGGGGGGGCTTGTTTTTATTGTTTTATTTCCATGTTTCCACTTTGTGAAGAA